TTGCAAGGAGCAGGGCTGAATAGAAAGATCTGTGCTAGCACAATGCTCTTTTGGCTGAGAAACAGTGAGACTGAAGTGGTTCCTCAGGCTGATTTGACTTCTGAGATGGAAACTAAACTAGGAAAAGGTGAAAGGAAACAGATATAATGATTGATGGGGGACATAACTTATTTTTAGGAAATGATGAGGTAAGCAGCATACTTGTGAATATGGAATATGTCTGATTTCAGTGAACTGATTGGTATGTGGACAGCTAGTGACATTCATACTTTATGCTGTTTTGTGATTCAGAGAAACCACTAGTAGGCTGAGGCTGGACTGTATGTTGTCAACTCAAATAAATGAATCCATTAAATTAACAAATGATGAGGCTACAGAAAGAGACCTGAGAAGAAGTGAAGACATGATTATGACACAGTTTTGGCAAGGCACAATATAGGTGACATTTCAGAGATGACAGACTGAAGAACTGCTAATATGGATGACAAATGAGAAGTGAATTTAACAATAGAGCCATATTGTTTTCTATGGCTTTGAACTTTATTTTCTTAAACAATCAAAATCTGGCAGAGATTCTTACAGCACTCAGAAGTACCTGTTGAATTTCTAAATGCTTCTCTCTATGTGAATGCTAGCAGTTTTGCATTTTTGCATAATTACACCTGTCCCATCAGAAAAATTTCTGGGCTACGAGGTGATGTCACAATCACTGGTAGCAACTCTGATTATGCTCCACTAATTACTCAAGTTAATGAAAAGCTCCTGTAAATCAGGAAGAATCATTGGTATTTTTAGGAGTTTTTTAAAGCTGTGTGTGGAAGGCTGAACTCCATTTACAGGAGGAATGCAGATGAAAACTGAGAATTACACAAAAATGTACAGTTGGGAGTATTGGAGATTTCAGAATAATGTATTCCAATGATTTTTTTACTATATGAATTTACATCTCACTCCAGACCTCATTTTTATGGACGAATTGAGAACAAGTTTTCAATAAGCTGAGCAGTAAGATCAGCCTTGTATCATATGATGTGCAGATAGAAAATCACGAGCTTCAGAAATACTAAGCTGTAGAAACAACCATTTCCTCTTTTGTATTTTGTGCATGCATCTGAATAATGACTGTAAATTCCACAACTTCCCATGGAAAACTGATGCTAAATGTAAAAGTGATTTTCTGCACCATTATTTTTCCTAGCTTCTATTACATTTATTAAATTGACACGTCTGTCTGTGTATTAGGAGACACACTCACCTTTACAGATATCTATATTCAAAAAAACTTTAAGAACCTTCCAAAATCAGGAGTAGAGAAAGAAGGAGAATCTGAACTAAGACATGGTATGTGCTTCCATATGCAATATGGAAAGAAGGAGTATGGAAACTGTAAACTTAATTTTACCAACACATAGACTGCAATCATTTGGCTGTCGAATCAGATTTATTTTACAAGTAATCTGTAGTTCTTGCAAATAAAAAATCAGTGATGTAAAATAATTGTTTGGGCACATATAAGATCTGAATGAATCACGTGCATTTCAAATCTTTTGGTACTGGAAGACTGTCCTTGCCAGTTCTCTGATCTACTTTTGTCCTGTGCCTACCAATCAAAACTTTGGAGGCCTTTCAAACCTGCTGTCTATTTGCTGTCTTTAGGGAAAACTGTGGCTTTCACAGTTGATTTGCATACATTTATGTTGCACCAGTCATGACACTAATTCACAAAGACAGCTAATACTAAGGTCCAGTACTGATTAAATCTATCTGGAGACCGAGAAAACTTTTTCACTAGATGGACAGAAGCAGCTTTCCACTTCCACCAGCTTGATCTGACTCAGTCCTGATTAGATGGGACTTTTGCTTCACAGTTCAGCATCTGTGCGGCTCTTCCTGTATCTGAGGTTAGTAATGGTCAAAAGTCAGCAGGAGATTTTTCAGAGACTTCAGAAATGAAGAAAGAGTGAATTACCAAGAATTTTCTCTGTTCAGAGAGCTTATGCAACACGGTCAAGCACAAACAGCTACTAGAGTCCATTTCATACTCTGTATAGAGAGGATTTTTGTCTTCTGATTTCTTAATCTAGTTCTTAGTACTGTGTCCTTTCAATGACAAATATATATATATATATATCAGACCAAGCAGTACATTTAAATGGACAGATGAAAAAATTGCCATCTGCTTATCAGAGCATAATCAGATTTGCTCATTAAAAGATTGTGGTCGACAGGTTGAGAGGTGAGACCACATTTAGAATACCGTGTCCACCTCTGGGCTCCTTAGTTCAAAAAAGAGAAGGATCTCCTAAAAGGAGTCCAGCGGAGGACTACAGAGATGATTAAGGGCCTGGAGAATCTCCTGCATGAGGAAAGGCTGAGTAACCTGGGTCTGTTCAGCCTGAGAAAAAGAAGATTGAGAGGGGATCTGGTAAATATTTATAAATATCTGTAGGGAGGTGGGAGGCAAATAGATGAGGCCAGGCTCTTCTCGGTGGTGTGTAGTAGTAGAAAAAGGAGTAATGGACTAAAACTTGAACGTAGGAAGTTCAGTACTAACATGCAGAAGAATTTCTTTATGGTAAGGGTGATGGAACACTGGAACAGGTTGCCCAGAGAGGTCATGGAGTCTTCTTCTATGGAGATATTCAAGATTCATCTGGACGCGCCTACCTGTGTGACCTATAGTAGGGTAAGCACTTTAGCAAGGGGCTTGGATTTCTTGAGGTCCCTTCCAACTCCTGCAATTCTGTGATTCTGCAATCATCATTATGCTGGTAATATCATTTTTGTCATGTAGAGAAGTAGAAATGTAAATTTAAAAAACCCTACTGCACATTAATCTACCATTCCTGAGATTATTCTCTGCCTTGCAGGGTAAACACAAAGCAATAGACAAGAAGCACTCCTAGCAAAAGAGAATTTACAAATCTTCAAATGATGTTGAATATGAGTGGGTAGACCATGACAAAATGTTCACACTTCTTCATCAACTTTAACTAGTTTGCCACTTCATATTTATACTATAAGCAGTGAACTGGATTTTCTTTGTGGGAAGAGTAATCCAAATGAAATGATAAGAAGCAAAAAGAAAACTGCTTTCATAGATCCAGGACAGGACAGGATTTGCTAGTTCACAATTCTGTTTATTTTGTTAGAAAAGTCTTTAAAAATCAATTTCCAGCATCATTTTATTAATGAAATTCTGATTTATATTAAGAATTAGTTTCATTTATTTTTGATATATAATCAGTGAAATAACAAGTTTCATTTTTGCTGTCTTTGCAATGAAACAATAAAATAAAATAAAATTAAAGGTCACAGATGTGTAAAATATTTGGATTTCTCTAAACAGCAGTATTTTTATACTTCAAAATTCAAAGCATGGACAGTTCATTTGTAAATCGCTGTTTAAGATTTATATAATCTACTGAGGCATCTACAGAGTCTACTGTTTGACTGTACAGTATTCATGCAGGAAAATGCTAACTGTTTAAAAATACAGCAATAGATTGTTATGATACAGTGCTATAGTGTGTGTGAAGTGCACACTGTGAGTCTGTGATAAATCTAAAATATTTTTGACAAGATAAATTCAAAATTCAAGAAGTTATTTAGAACATGCATTAATCAACCGTACTGGCTCAGTAATGTGACCAGTGCTCTTTAACATCCTCATCAATGACATTGACAGAGGGATTGGTTGCCCCCTCAGCTGATGACACTAAGTTGGCTGATGACACTAAGCTGTAGGGTGCAATCGACACTCCAAAGAGATGGGATGTCATCCAGAGGAACCTAGACAGGCTCAAGTAGTGAGCAGAGGTGAACCTCATGAGGTTGAAAAACTCCAAATGCAAGGTATTGCACCTGGGTTGTGGAAATCCCACTGTCAAGTACAACTTGGGAGATGAAAAAATAGAATGCAGCCCTGCTGAAAAGGACTTGGGGGTAATGGTGGGATGGTGAGCTGGACATGAGCCAGCAATGTGCCCTGGCAGCCCAGAAAGCCAATTGTAACCTGGGCTGCACCAAAAGAAGCAAGGCCAGCTGAGTGAGAGAGGTGATCCTGCTCCTCTACTCTGTGCTGGTGAGACCTCACCTGGAGTACTGTGGCCAGATGTGGAGTCCACAGTACATGAGATGTGGATCTGCTGGAGCACATCCAGAGAAGGTCCTCAAAAATGATCCAAGGTATGGAACACCTTCCCTAAGAGGACAGGTTGAGAAGAGAAAGCTCTGGAGTGACCTGAGAGTGATATATTCTAACATCACCTAAGTCAACACCAAAATTCCCAGCAATTTTGACAGTCAGGATACTTGCACCTTGTTTTTAAATACAGAGAAGAAGTACTGCAGTCTTGCTGTTAAATTTGAAGAGGTCATGTCATGCTAGATGAATAAGAGCGTCCAGCCTGTGCTGACCAGACAGCCTGGGCCAGCTGGAATCTGCACTCAGCTTTTTGCAAGGCATCTAAAATTAGAGGGACTGAATCAAGGCAGGAGGTTTAAGTCATCACTAAATATATGTGTAGTTTTTAGTATGTATTGTTTTTTTTTTCCCCACACATATCGAATTTGAGGTTGAGCGCATCTAGGAAGCAGATATTTATGACAGATATTCAGTTTTCAAAGTTGAGCATGTAAAGAGTTTATATACATACACTTTATGTACATACATACATATGTACATATGTTTACATACATACACTTGCCTCAAGTGTGGTTTTAAAAACACAGATCTACTTTTACCTACTAACATGAAGTTAGCTACAATCTTTTGTCCATAAAGAAATACAGTGCTCACGCAGATTAAATTCATAGCTGCTTTCATTTCAGTAGGAATGTAAAAAGTCAAAAATACTAACATTAACTAGACTGTTTGCTCTTTTAAAGCACTAAATTAAATATTTCTGTTTGTCAGAGATCCCAGTCTCATGATATATACGTATGCCAGACTCAATCATCGTCTACGCTTCTATCTAAAAATGTGACTTATTTTCCAGGAAGGCAGTTAAAAGGCAAAGACATTGGAACGACAAAACTTAAGAAATGTTGCTCTAAACATGTTGGGAAAGGTAAGTCTACCTATTGGCATTTCACTCTTTGAGGAACTGTTTGGGGTATGAAATCCTTTCATGAGTTTTTAACTCAGCTAGATCAGTTTCTTTTTTTGCACGATTAGAGTTCTACATCTTTTACTATGCTTTTTATTTTTTTTTTCAGTTGAAGCAGTTGATTTATATGTAGCAGCATCAGAATAAATATTAACTTCATCTTGAATAAAAATCTGGTGTATCAATTATATATGCAAAAAAACCCTCCAAAATATTTTGTATTGAGCAGACAAAAACCTATGACCTGATGGGAGCTACAGAGATGTTTGGAGTTGTTTAGCAAAGAGAAAAATTTTCTTAGATGGCATGAACTGTAAAAAATTCTTAGTTTTTGGAAGTCCAATAGGAGATTTCTTTTCATCATTTTAGTCATACAGCTCTATTTAACTTTTTAAGTAGAGAGAGGTTTAAGTATCAAAACTGTCTTTTAAGGTGGTAAATCTTGATTGTGATAGTGATAAACATAAATATAAAATACACTACATTCTAATTTAGAAAAAAAAAAAAAGCCAAGAAAAATAACTTGTTTTCAAGAAGTGTCTATAATTAAGGTTAACCTTACTTTCTGGTCTCTATACTGCTATAATTGGATCTTTAGTCTCACACAGTTTACAATTCTTGACTACCCTTTGCTCCGCCATCATTTTTTTTTGTGCTTTTTTTTTTTTTTTTTTGAAAATTACAGGACTGGTGTACTTATTTTTGCTTATGAATAAAGATCAGTTTCTGTCTAGAAAAATTACATCTGGCTAAACATCTATCATGTGGCTGGGCATGGTGTGCTTTATCTGTGTTGTTGGCCCAGAAATAATTTCTCATCTATCCAGAGGACACGCCCATCATGAGCCAAAGAGAAGGAAATATACTTACAGTTCTATCACTGCTATGAAAGAACTTCACCAAGATGCTACCAGAAGTTAAAAATGAATGAAGATGCATTGTTATTTCTCAAAGCAAACAACAAAGATGGTCTAAATCATCTCAACATACAGAATTTTTCACTACGGTAGTGTTTATGCGAAATGCAATAACAGTACCTAAATTCTTTCCTGTCTTTTTTTTTCCTCTTTTTTTTTCCCCAAGAATTTCAGGAGTTCCTGACTTGTATGAGAACCAATCTGTCCTTAAAAATTACAAATGTTTCAATTGTTTTCAACGGAATTTGCATTTGGGATTCATATCTGGAGATCCAGACAATTGCTAGGAGTAACTGAAATAGTCACAGTATTACCACTGCAGCCAGAAAACTGTCCTCTGCTAGCCCAGATTACACTGGGATGGATATTTACCACGAGGATCTGCAGCATCCTCCACTTTAATAATAAAGTGCAGGTTTGTACATGTAGAGGCAATACAAAATTGGTGTTGTGCAGCTCACCAAAGGGTGAGTCCCAGGAATGTCACTGGAAAGGGAAAGGGATGGTATGGTATGGGTTGACTTCTGGATGAGTGTAAATTTGAGCCTACGAAATGTAAACTCCATCGTCAAGATGATTAAGCAAAGAGGAAGCTTTCCCTGGTAAACGTGCACCTCAGAGGAACAGAAGATAACTCACATATATGCATTGCCTTGGCTGCTGGAAAACACTGCTAATTGGCATTTCTGCAGACTAGAAGTTTGCACGAAATTTTGTCCTGTGTTTTTGTTTGTTTGTTTGTTTAACTGAGCTTTAGTTCAGTTTTTTGTTGTTACTGGTTTTGTTTTTCTTTTCCTTTATAATTATAATCTGCTTAGACTCATGCTTGCTACTACTCCTTAGGCCATGACTACCCCTATTTCCATTAAGGAAACTGCTGTCATTTTCCTTTACAGGTACAAGTGGATATATTTTCAACTGAAACACATTTTGTTCTGAGAGGTATGACAGCTATAACAATACCGATACAGGGTATTCTTACAAGGAAGGAAATAGTCCTGACATTTAGAGATGTCTGATCCTCTGTAGACTGTGGTGGAAATGTGGCTGCCACAGTGATTTCAGAATTTTTCAGATCAGGAAGGTTAAATTGCTACTCAGATCTAAAGCAATGGAGTGAATGTTCACAAATTCTGGTTTTGCTGAAGTCAAATCTGACAAGATGGTGAATGTACTCTGAATGTGTGCTGCTAGACTTGTTCTGGCTTCAGTGCTCACCCATAAGGTCTGTGAATCACAGGCAGTTGTGGAAGCTCGCAGGGCAGAATTTAACTTAAAATAAATGGCTTTGCTGAACCAAAGCCAGAAGTATTAGCTGGAAAACTTCATAAGCACCAGGTTTTCCATCAAACAGATCATGGGGAGAGGACAGCAGTAGCTTCTAACACAAACAACTGACTTTCTTCACACTTTTAGTTATTATTTCTAATGGTACAGAGATGATGCTTCTTAGAGAAAGTCACCTAAGTTTTCACATGTACTTATCTAATAGTGGTAAGAAGCCAAGCAATAGCTTTATCTCCCTATGTCTTCCATTTGCAGAAGTAAATGATAATGTAGTTCAAAAACAGTTTACAGAGGGTGAAACAGGGCAATGAGGAGCAAAAAGCTACCCTTTGGAAAGTCTTGGTTTGTTCCTTGGTTGTGTTTTCAAACATCCTGTAACTCACCCAGTTCATGAGAAGAAGTATAGTAATCCCAGTAGCCTGTAATCCTCCTGATTCAGACACATGTGGTTTTGGTCACAGAAAGAAAATATTTACCTTCTGACTGCCATAGTTCTCTAAAAACAACAGGCAATGTCTCAGAATTTCTGCTACAGATTAGCCTCTATTCTACACAAAAAATTGATCTGAGCTGATGACTTCAGACCCATTCCAGACTACATCTGAGTCCAGACTGACATGCAAAGACGGAGTTTGGGCAATTGTAGTTTTACTTATGAAAATCTAGCATTTGAACATATGCCTTCCCCCTTTATTTACAATTTCCAGGATAAAAGAGAACAACCAAAGCTCTAACCACATCATATGCCAATCATCCTCCAGGGAGTCACGTGCCTCCCCTTGGAGGCCAGAGACTAATTAGCAATTTTGATTTTTGACTACTCCTTTTGGGAACCTATAGTAGTAGGCAGCTCTCTTAGGAAGAAATCAAACAGAACTCTCTGAGTCAGATATGTTGTGTTGTATTCTGAATGGACTTTCAGTGATACAAACTTTAATATATGCCCAGAATCTGATGAACACAGAGCATCATAAATCCCAGGCTTTCCTCTAACAAGTCAGCAGACACTAATCAGTACAATAAATTGATTCTATAACCCTAAGCTTTTCTCAAGAGGAACTTGTCTTCATTTGGTTAAACACATAATTAACCCCTCTTGCAACTGATGTTTAATGGAAAAGGAACATTGCAAGCCTATCAATACAGGAGAGTTATTTAGCTCTAACCTCATTTTATGTTAAAAACCTGCATGAAATATATAAATATGGAAATAATTTTTCTCACCTTGAGACAAAATTATTCTACCAGATTCAGTCAAATTGTAGTTTGTAGAAATCACCAGGGAAAAGGAAAAATGTGAGATTTGGCACCATCCAAAACATAAGACAATACAAAGGGCAGAATCATTTCCACTGGCAGAGGCAGAAGTGGGGAGTTAGTAGAATCGCTGTTCTTGCTGGCCTCCAGGGTTGAAAAACTCACTGACATAATGAGTACATGCAGAAAGGATGACTTTAACAAAGAAATGATCTCCTTATTTCATGTCCTAGATCAGCATGGCTTGCTTTTTATGTAACAGTCCTCTTCCTACCATACTCTGCCTGTGCTGTCCCCATTCCTACTTCACATTTGTGGTATCTAGAATAATAATCATCCTCACCACCATTTCTCTATTTCCTTCCTACTTTTCACTTTTCTTTAATTTACTTCCAACTTTTCTAACTTCTACTCTCATTTTTCAATTCTTCGTGCATATATATCAAACTAAACAGTGTATCAACAGAGGTGTTGATAGTGGTGGCAGAACTTAACTGAATGCTTTCTGGACAGAGGAGAGACACATGGGTTTGTCAGAGGAAGTTCTGCATTGTCCAAACAGCCTGTTATATCTATGCAATGAACAGCCAAACCATTACAACCAGAAAGCAATCATGAAAGCACCAAGAGGTCAACAACTGATTGATGTTTGACTGAAAAATGAAGTATTATAATGAATGTGTTGTCATTGGCTATTATGAAAATTTAGATTCCTACTGGATATCATAAATAGGAATGAATAGATGCTTTAGTCTCAAATTGAACTTCTTGTTCTCTAATTCTCAGAATACATGACAGAACAAATGAAAAACTTTTGAAGTTACATTGGTAAATTCCACAAACATTAAAAAAAAAAAACCAAAAAAAAACCCTCTAAACAGGATTAAAATGGGACTTCAGATCATGAGTGAAATTCATGACCTTCTGAAAAGAATAAGGAGCCACAGTAATCTTGCTTAAAGTCTGAAATAGTTCATTAATACCAGGGTCTAACTGTGCCTGGCTGTTCATTTTATATACACCTACATTGCTCTGAAAGAATTTGCAAACAGTATGACAGAATGGAGGATTACCTGCTCTTGATGTAGTCTATTATTAATGAACTCACAGCAGTTCTGTAGCACATTTCAGGATAGGAAGAGTGAATATCATGTGCAAGTGAAACTGCAGTGTTTTTTGAGTATACAGCATGTAATTATCCGGACTGGAATGTGGCCAATGCACTAAAGCTGACTCTCTTAACACCAGTTTTGCAGCATTCGATATCCAGCATATTTGCAAACAGTTTGCCGCTGTTCATTTTCCAAGGTTCAGCATTAGAAAGGAATATATTCTGTATTATATCCTGAGAGCAGCCCATCCTCCTTCTGATCACAGACCCAGAAACTTCTTTTGTTGCTTAACTCTGATATCTTTAATTTTTTAGGGAATTTATTCTCTCTTAGGGCAGTAGAAGAATGAGAACAATAGCTTCCTTCCCAAATACCTGGATACATGTCAG